CCTGAGACATTTTGGAACCTCATGGAACCAAGGGGCCATTCTGACACTGAGGAACCTCATGGACTCAAGGGGCCACTGTGACACTGCAGGGCCTCATAGAACCAAAGGAACCCTGAGACATCTCAGAGCCTTTGTCTGTGCTGCTCAAGCTGTGAGGCAGAGCCAGCTGATGGTGCTCCCTGTCACTGACCACCTCCCCCAGACGCTCCTGTGTGGCCGTGGAGGGGGCTCAGAGGGGCCCTGCCTTGTTCCAGAGCTGGGACATGGCTTTAGGGGCTGCTCTTGATCGACCTGTGGAAGTTCACTGAGGGGAACACAAGTCACTTGCAAGAGTTTTCCCTGTACCTGCTGTGTCCCCTGGGGTTGCAGAGCTCTGTTTGCCCCTTCACAGCAAGCTTTAGTACTTGATATCTGGACGACTCCACCCTGGGCAGGATTCTGCTCCAGGCCTCCACTCCCTGCTGACTGGATGGAACGGGCTGTCCCTGCAGATCCTCTGTCCTCTCCTGCACTTCCTGAGTTCCTCCAGACAGGTCCTCACCTGCCATGAGAACCCTCACAAGCTGCAGAGCCCCAGGCAAAGGACTTGGAGATCATTTGTCATCTCCATTGGCCATTGGCCACCAACACACAACATCTGAACCAGCCCTCAGTCCCCGAAGTCTCAGTGGGTCCCTGACCACCCTGCACTGTCTCCATGGACAAACAAGCAAAACAACAAGACTTTGGAGAGTCTAATCCTTGGACTTCTTCTCCATACCAGTGTTGGGAAAAGACCTCAGCCTTCAGGAAGTGCCTGGAGGGGAACCCCTTTGCTGCTGGAACTGCTGTTGTGGAGCCCAGCCCTGTCCCAGCAGTGCCCAGGGCCTGTCCCTGCCTGTGCTCACAGGCCTGACCCACAGCAGGACAGTGACTGAGCTGCCAGAGCACTCAGGCCTTGGGCACGGACAGGAAAGGAGAGGGTGGGAGTGCAAAGAGAACAGCTCTGAACAGACCCAGTTCTGGTGCTCCCTGGCAGTGCTGGGACTCTTTTCCCCTCCATATCTTCAAACATGGAAATGCACTCCAGCTTCAGGGGAGGTCTTGGAGAAAGAATCTGGAAAAAAGAATTTGTGTCCTTTCTTACATTCAGAGATTGTGATTCCTCATGTAAAAACTAACACAGGGAG